GATGGATGGATGAATGGATGGATGATGGATGGATGGATGATGGATGATGGATGGATGGATAGATGATAGATGGATGGATGGATGATGGATGGATGATGGATGGATGATGGATGGATGGATGGATGATGGATGGATGGATGGATGATGGATGGAGGGACAGATGGATTATATAACAATCTATTGTATTAAAACAATGCCCACCATGTGCCCCCAGAGGGCCAGCAAAGTAAAGGGACCAAATCACGTCTGTTGAACAAACCAAGAGAAGTAGAAATCAGATTGCTAGAAAGTGAGGAAAGGTGCTGCTTGAAGATGTCACCGAAAGATTTGGTCACATCTGGGGATGGGCTGATGGGACAGGTGCAAGGAAGTGCCAGAGTTTTGTGAACATATATTGGTTGTTAATTATGGATTGATGGATTACTCCTTTGGGAAGACCTTTCCTGCTATATTTTGTCTTGAATGCTGATCTGGCTGGTATTTACGTTAATAATGTGAATGAAGATCTACACAATTTGCTTGTTGTATTTGTAGATATTATTGACAGAATCAAGATTCAAAAATGCCTCATCAGTGTGTCAAAAGAAGGTAAGATGAGGTTTAGCAAAGCTAAATTTGAGGTTCCACCCTTAGGCTGAGAGCCAGAAAGAGAAACCCTATAGAGAGCCCATTACCAACACTTCCTAAGGCAAGACACTGGGAATTAACGCAGTGGCTGGGGCGGGTCACAGACATTTGTCTACATTCAGTTCCTCTACCCTCCATCTGAGTGTCCTTGGACAAAGGTATGAGGCTCCCTGAGTTTTATTTTCTCCTCTTTCAATTGGAGACACTGAAATCCACCGTACAGCCTCTTTTTGAAGCCAACTGATATAACCCATGTAAAGAATATGAAAGAGCAATCATACATAAAAATTGCATGTTATTGGTAGGTATTCTCTATGACTATTTACTGCAGAATTCCAATGCGAACCAAAAGTCTTATGCAACTGCCAAAAAACATAAGGAAATCACAGGCTTTGGCAGCACAGGAAGTAAGAGATCCACCGTGCGTCTTCAGCCTGGGCAGCACATTTCAAAGAGAGACACTACCAACCAGCTTGCACCTGGGAGAGCATGGCTATGGAGGTGAAGGTGCTGAGTCATGTCACTGTTGAGGATTTAGAGACACTATGCAAGATAAGACTACAGTGAGTGTTGTCTCTGGGAAACTGGGATTGGAATTGTTTCTCGAATCCCTGGGGAGAAACACAAGGACTAATGCACAGAAACCAGAGAAGGCACTGCAGTGCGAGAGCCCTCTGCTAGTGTGGAGGCTGCAGTGTGAGAGCGCTCTGCTAGTGTGGAGGCTGCAGTGTGAGAGCCCTCTCCTAGTGTGGAGGTTCCA